GAGGAAAAGCAGCTTGTGTAAAGTTAACCATGACACACATGTGCCCAGGCACTGAGACAGTGTTTAAACCTGTTTAAGGTGTGAGGAGTGGGTGGCTTGTAGGTCACACTAATAAGTGAGAATGTAGTAATGTCTTATAGCTCCACAAAACAAACAGCCCAGGAAAATGACTTGAAATGGCTTCATGCAGCTGTTTACCCGAAACAACAGTTTTCCCTGTCTGTACTGTGCTGTGGTTATATACTCTGGAGCACCTCTATGGCTCCAGTTTACAACTGTGAAATGTGGACCAGCCGTTCACTCCTGTACAGGAAGTGTGGACCGACTGTCCATTTGAAGGGTTTGAGTTTCTGATTCCAAAGGGTGTTCCCCAACAGCAAGTGCAGAAACTGGGGAGTAGATCCATCTAGATCACAGGTGTCTAACTCCAGGCCTCGAGGGCCGGTGTCCTGCAGGTTTTAGATGTGTCCTTGGTAATTTGGTCATTTAAATGTTCCTCCTCAAAATGTCTTGAAGTTCTCCAGAGGCCTGGTAATGAACTAATCATGTGATTCAGGTGTGCTGACCCAGGGTGAGATCTAAAACCAGCAGGACACCGGCCCTCGAGGCCTGGAGTTTGACACACCTGATCTAGATGATGAAAATCTAGTCAAGTGCAAGTAGCCCTCCTGATTATAGAGCCTAAAAAGGCTAGGTTAAAGATTTACAAATGTCCACAAATTTAGACTTTAAAGTGCAAAATATTGTATTTAAGCAAATGATAGGAATCATGTAATTAAATCACCTGATTGTATTCAAACTTAACTGCTCTACTTTATCCTAATGCTGATTTCTGAAACTGTTCTTGAGCTGAATGAAACAGAAGAGGAAGCATGCCCTGATGAAATCCTTTCCTGCCATGCCCGAAAGTCCAAATGGGGAAGCAGTGACTCATTACCAACTTCTCACTTCCTTTCATACTTTAATTCAACATGACAAAAAATAAGTAGAGAATAAGCCAGAAATTAAACTAATGTTGGGTCGTTGTTAATGCTGCTCACTGAGTCCAGTCTTCTTCTGATGTGACAATCTGCTCAGCAGGAAAGTAGAAGAAGAACCCGACCCTCCCTAAACAGCTCATATAACCACATGCATCGTCTATTCACAGACACACACAGACAGACACACACACACACACACACACACAGACAGACACACAGACACACACACACACACACACA